ACAACACCACTGATACTTACTACCACATTTCATCCTTTTCACTTAAAAGAAAAAACATATATATTCCTCAATCAATAGTTCCCATTCATTATTGTGCAGTAGAAATGCAAAATAATGTGCAAATTTCGATTTTTATTGTTTCAAAAAAAAGAAATCAAAACTTAACATTTATTAAGCATCTGGAAGAAACTCAAACTCATACTCATTGCTCATTAACCAGTTTTACTGATTTTCCATCTTTTAATTTCTTTATTCTTATTCGCATAAAGCACAGTATTGAAATATTGCTCGAAGAATTGAATTCTAGAATGATCAGATCATATCTGATCGATGCTGTTCAGCAATACTTTATAAATATTAATAATTTGATTGAATACATAAAATGAATTGTCTTTAATTAATCTGATCAAAAATGATATTTCCACTACTAAAAAAAGACAAATATAAAAGGCAAAAAAAGAATGGAACTGAAGTTGAAATCTACGCTTACTGGCCAAGTGGAGACTGATTGTAATTGATGAAGGAGGCTTTGAAGAAATAAGATTCGATTTTTTAAATTAGACTAAATATTCTTTCATCAACAAGCAGCATTTAAAAAAAAAAAGCAATTTGAAAATTTAAACTGTATGATCTAATTCACTTCATTTCATTTCGAGTGGCATAATCAATTGCTAATTTGATTAAGCTCAGTTTATTTTAATTTAATCGATCTGGACAGAATGAAATTAGAATCATTTATTTCATTTTACATTAAATGGAACAACTAACAAGCAAAGTATACTTGCACTTTTCAACAATGGATGCTAAATAAAAAATACACTTAACAGAAATATTATTCCTCTTCAAATTAACTTAATAAGAAAAGAATAAAAAAAAAAAAAAAAAAAAAAAAACACTATCATCATCAGTGCTCCAAAATGAGAAGGAAATGGAGCTGAAAGAAGTATGCAAAGTTAACTTCAATGCCTTTAAAATTCGACTCGTATTTTGCTTGAATTGAAGAGGAAGGAATCCTTCGACTAAGCACTCCATATTCAATCATCATTTTACATCAGAAGCAGTCATATTCTTGTGGAATGTCTTCTCGTAAAATTTGAAAGTGCCTTGTTTAGTGAGATGCAAACTGGTGACAAATCGAAAATATGATACGGAACGAATAAATTATCATTTCTGTTTTGTTGCTATGGTGAATTTATTTTTTATCCACTTTATCATTCCACAATTATTCATCCTTTAACGTTGAGAAAAAGACGCGCACTTCTCTGGTGACGTCCAATGAGCCATAAATTTCATTGGCCATAACTTTTACATTTGGATGCAAAAAAAACGAATTGGCAATAGTCTAACTACGCCAATTTCTTTTCCTTTCTTTTTAAAAAAAAAAAAAAAAAAAAAAAAAAAACAGAACCTAAGCTAATATCATTAATCTTACAAGAATGTTGTAAATATAATCGATAGATCATAGACTAATTAATGGCTCAGTGAATTAAACATACAGCATTAGTAATAGTTTCAGCAAAAATTGCAACTGCAATAATTAGATCGAACATTCTCGATAAATTTCTCGAACAGTTCCATAAACATATGCATTTGAGTCAATGTCATAGCGCAGCATAAGGCATATCTCGTTGGGCGCTTATGTGCGGCCTTCTTCAATTAGAAATACAACAGCGCATGTTGCATAAGTAATGTCATCTGAGCCACCCACTTGAGCTTGGCGGATAACAGAAGTGAAAATGTGAGCGCTTGAAATAGAATATTTGGAGAAGGATAAATGAGTCGGAAAAATGAGAGAAGAGGAATAGAAGTAGGATACCTCGATGGTTTAAATTGTTTTGCAAGGTTGAAATATGTAAAATAGAAGAAAATCACAAAGATATAAATAAACAAGGACAGTTGAATGAGAAGGAATGAAAAAGCAGTCCTTTTGAGAATAATGGGAAAGAAGTAGGAGTGGAAGAGGTTTAATTGAGAAGCTCTTATTTTGAGCTATCGAAACGAACACAGACCACCACCAGAAAAGCAGTAGTGAAAATGATAGCGCCACTACTGCTACTCTTCTACCGCCATGCAATTTTATCTTCCTCATCAGTAATTGAGCAAACAGTTTCAGCTAAAGATAAAAGTAGCAAGCAGTGCAGCAATTGCTTTTCGGACATGGCAATAATATTGAAATCAGCTTGCTTATATAATAATATGATTAGCAATAATAATAATAATAATAACGATAATGATAATAATATAACCTGAACTCGATGACATTATAGAACGAACGGCAGAAGTGGAATAGTGCTGAGTGATTGTGATACGATGTTTGGAGCGTAGATAGACGGATAATAAATTTTGAAAAGTATTCTGCGATAATGAAATAAATTCTTTTCCTTTTGATCATTTTAATTATGAAATGAATGTGATTGCCACAAATAATTTAGCACATTGAAAGAAGCGCCCTTTCAGCTGTCACATAAAAATGACTGTCAAATTGAAATGTACGAGATTTCATGTGAACATCAGAGAGAGAGAGAGAGAGACTAAAATGACAGAGCAGCAAGGATGCACTGCACGAATGTGATGTATCGTACGCCCTGCATCTGCAAATTATTGGTGTTAGCAATTAACCGAGGCGGTAAGGGATGGGAGGGAATATGCGCAATAGGACACTTATGGTCAATTGAAGAAGAAAGTGAAGAGTGGAGAAGGAGATCTGAATAAATTATCAATGATCGTCTTGGTTAATTCACTGATTCACTCTTCAGGTCCGTTAGTAACTCACTCTGTTACAGAGTAAGGAGTAAGGGAAGCGATAGATTCAAGTTGATCCTTCCGCTGAGTTAATTCGGGTTGTGAGGGTGCCCGTGGGAGAGTAGAATCAACTTAGACTTTAGGTAAATGTTCCAAAGTGAAAATTTTATATAATTTGTCAGAAAAAAGAAGGAAGAAGGATAGTTGGTGATATGACTGCAATCAGTAAAGCAACGAGAAGGAACTTTTCGGCTCGGTCTTTTTCGTCTCCCAGTGATTGGACCAAGAGAGATCTAACATTCTTAATGTAATAAATAATAAATATTCATTACATTATAACGCCCTGCCATACCTTTCTTCCCTGAGCATACAAATGGATTATCAATTGTGAAAGAAGGGAGGAACCGATTATCTGAATAAAATCGTAAAGCTCTCTTTAATTAGTCATATCATAACATATCATCTCTTATTAAAATTCCTATTAAATGCTTATTATTGTAGATGAATGAATGAATATCGAAAAATACGCAAATATTATTCGAAAATTTTTTATAAAGAAAATATTAGATGGGAAAAAATGGAAAATATTCTGTCTTATCCGTTTGAGCCGCGGTAAATTTTAATTAAATGTACGCAAAATACTCCGTTTTTCTTATTTCTCCTTACCTCATTGACCTCCTCCTCATATATCTCGACGAGACTCATAAGTTAGTAAACAAATAAATTCAAAAAGAAATAATTCACTAGAAATGAAATTGTACATTGTTAGTGATACTACAATCGACCGACCGCACATCGTTTCCTTTGCAGACTTCACTTCTTCCTGTTATCGTTTTATAAGAAATAATTGAGACGACAAAATGGAAGAATTAAAAAGATATTATAGATGCGTGGAATAATTTGATTCACAAAGAATCTATGAAATTTACTCACACAGAATTAGCGAAAAGTTACTCGGTGATATGATGCAAAATGTATCAAATTTATGCTCCTGCCAACTGATCACGGGCATATGACAGGTGTTGATTAATTGTTATGAAGTGCCGAACAATAAAATGTTATCGTCTTGAAATATTCTATATTAATTCGAACTTGCTAAAAAGCCAATTAAAAAGTGTAAAAATTTAAAGCATAAAATTTATTGCAATGTAGTATATCATAGTTGAAAAATGTGATCATTTATGCAAGAAGAGAAATCGACAAAATTCCCTAATATCCTGAATCATTTTTACCTTTTCACTGTATTGCCGCTGATCTAGAAAAATTGATCTCGTTGACGGGTCACAGAAAATGAATCATTTTCACATCCTATTTACTTACTGCAAATGAAGCAAGCAGCGAGAGCATTTTTTTTTTTTTTTGCTTTCACCGCATTTAAGACAGTTTTCTCGAATAATAATCTGATAGGTCATTTCTTGTTGAAATGTTGCACACATTATGAAATGAATCAAAAAATGCCCTGTTCTGGTCATTGTGCTGGTAATATTGTCAAGACCAATTAAATAATGATGACAAGCCACTTTCTTCATTTCCATCTAAAAGTGACCCCTCATGATGAGAAATCTATAATATGGCAATGAAATCATCGTAAAGGATTACCCTGTTTAGCCTTGCGGAAAGAAACCGGTAAGGAAGGGCGGTGTTGCAATGTGCTGATTAATAAAAGTATGTGTATCATTTAATTTTATGATAAATTCGACATTTAATTTCTATAAATTTCTGAAAAGTCCTGGATCTATACGATTGGCTTACCTACAATTACAATTCACCTTGTTATCTTTAAGTGAATATTTCGCTACAGAATTTTTCATTTTATCTCATTTCTAAAATTGCAAAACGTTAATGTCATTTGCAATGGTTTAATTATTTACTTCTGAAATTATTCTCTGAAAGAACTCGAAAGGCGTTTTGCATGAATAAGAATTAATTCATGTGATCGGTATCAAAGCTTTCAAGTGAAAAATTAATGGATGAGTTCTTATCTAATTTTCAATGCAAATTTCGCAGCATTGAAAAAAATGTCGTGACCTCGCCTAAGTGTTGGTTAAGCAGCATGCTGAATCATACAAGATACTCGAAAACTAGTTTCCGGAACTTCCTAACATAACCTTTATTGGAGATATACCAATAAACACGTAACAGTACAAATTTATATTAAAGATCAAAAATATGGAGCAGTTCCTTTCAAACAGGAAAATGACTGATTTATTCATTCACCAAAACCAACAATTACAGCTGGTTGGACATGTTGTTTCCGTTCACTGAATAGGTGTTTGAAACACTGAACTGCGGCGTACCGGAAATCTCTTTGACGATATAAAAATAACACGACCAAGTTGAAGGAATTCAATAGGCGCAAATATACACAGCACATCACAATGATTTGCGATGTTATAGAAGAATCCATCACGTAAATACATTCCACCGTTGACGGCACAACGACAAGAACTGCAAGCTAATGGAATATTACCTGTAAAACTCACTATTTAATATTTAAGCAGTCCGACCGAGCCTATCCCAAGGCTATTTGGTCACTTTGGTACTGAATTCATAAATCAAACTTATGTTTTAGAGTGCAACGGAGCATCACCGTTTCGAAAGAATTTAGCTTTCTGACCACAAAATCTGGGAGGAAGAACATACAAAATGTAAAACAGCAAGAGATCAATGCTGTTTGAGTGTATCGCTTTTGATTTTTCAGGAAATGTGATAAGTCGCGGTTATGCGAGTGACTTGAAAGGAACTGTGCGCCGAACTTCCTGAAAGGATATGATAATGATATGATTAAAGTTTCATTCATATTTTGGGTTTGACTTTGTTAATGAATTGTCACCTGCCGTAAATGACGTAAAAAAGTGATAATTAAACAAAAAGAGTATATTAGTTCTTTTTTTCTATCGCTATGTGCTCGTTTATGATAATTTTATTTTCATAATCTTATTAAAAAATTTTATTTTTTTTTGGCAAATGACATATTGCTTTCAATTTTCCATATTGTCTGACAATAAGCAGTTACGTATATTACATTCCTGTTTTAGGATATTGATGGCATTTTTAAAATTAGAATGATTCTGATAAATGTTATCTTTGATTAGATGATTAGTAATAAATATTTAAAAGCATACTTTCTCAGCACGACAACTACGACGACCATAAAAATAACACTCAGCAATGAAGCAACAGAGGTCAGTACTAGCAGTGCCTCATAAAAATGAGTTAAATATACCTCTTGCACTCTGCAAGAAATATTGCATACATTTTGAAATTAAAAAATTGTTATCTATTTTGAAAACTGTCTACTTATAGTGTCCACAAAAGGTAGATTTTTTCCTTAGAATTTATTATTGTAGTTGTAATAATGTTTTAAAATATTAATTAGCAAAAGGTCTTGAAAATTGCCTGATTACGGTGCTTGTGATTGAAATTTTTTCCTTGGAATTTATTACTCGTAGTGTTCAAAGTAATTTACTTATTATTACTTACACACAAAACTTAGATATAAGCCGAATTGGTTCAATTAAACTTGCAATGACAGCAGCAGTTACCACAGTGATGGTAATCACATATTGTGCGGTAATTAACGAATAACTTATTCGTGTGCTGTGAGCATAGTAATATATTGGGAATGCCACAACACAAAACCTTTCCAAGCTGTTCGTTAACAAACTTAATCCGTTCAGAAAATGTGATGTGAAAAAAAGTACGGATATCTGAAAATTCTTAACATTTACTTTCTTTTATTCTTCGTAACTTATTGTTGTAACTGTAAAAATTTCATAGAAGGACGTAATTTCCGGAATTCCTTTAAAAAGAAAAAAAAAAACAAACGCTCAGCACACATTCATGATGACTAATGAGTTTTTCATCAGCGGAATAGATTAATCGTTTCATCCCTAGTAATATCACGCTAATTCCGGTAAATCCATTATTCAAGAACACAACAGCGATAACCACATAAGTTTTCCTGAAATACTCGAAATAATGCTTCCATCTGTTGTTATGCAATCCAGGTGTGATTGAGATAAATCGGTTGACCTGAGTGCTTTACGAATTATCACAAGCAGAAAGGCCGGAATGTTGATCAGTATAAGCATTGTACCGACAACGAAATAGCCATATGTGCGTAGAATATAGGTGATATTTGGTAGCATTTACTCTTCTTTTAATCTTCACTCTTCACAACGGTGTGACACTTTCACTTTGTCTGCAACAGATCAATTGAAGTGGAAAAGTTTGGTAAAATTGGTAACCTTAGATTAAATGGGGTTACATCAACAGAAACATTCACTGTTTCACTCTTTCGATGACACTGCAAAATATTAGGACTAAAAACGATAGTTAGGGAAGGTCGCTATTGTCTGACACTGCTCAAAAGTATGTAACATTTGGCTTGCAATAAATGAGAAATTTGAAATTACTTTCGCATATGATGAAATGAAACTCAGAATAAATTCTTACATGCAATTTCACTTTAAACTGAACCTTTCGTGTTCGTTTTGCACTTTCAAAATTCAAAAAGAGTACCAAGAACCTTTCAATTGTTGTTCGCTTTCCATCACTTCAGTTGTAACGAATTTTGATGTAAAATTTTATTTTTTCGTCTAATAAATTATTCAGTAGCACTATTTCAGTAGTAGTCACCCAATATTCAATGCCAAATTGTATTAATCATCGAAATCTCAAATTAGTTACTGCCGTGAATTCCTAAACCAATTTTTCAGTAAATTATTGAGGTAACATTCGGATTGATGAAGAATTTCTAATTATTATTTATTCACAGGCAACAAATCGTCTATCAAATCTCAAATAACTGCCATGCTGCAATGATGTCAATCAGTCTCTCTTACAATTTCAAATAAGTGAAATTTGATCACGAAATTTCTTACAGAATGATACTATCGGACTGTTTTCACCTCTCAAATATGTGACACTTAGTCTCGCAGATAATGTCATAACAGTTAACAGCTGGATGACTCCTGAGTTCTTTGTTTTATTCGCTCTCTTTTCTTGCAGTTCTCTGAAAGCAAATATCATGTCTGTCTGTGGTACTACTTTTATTAACTTTGAAAAACATTGGCTTCGAAGTAGAAGTGCTTCTGTCCATTTTTGCAAGAATTTTTACTAGCTCGAAAAAAAACCGAATTATAATAGAAATAAAATTATATTAAATCCACAGAACTAAGGATTGCATTGTTTGAGTTTGGACAAATGTTCTAATGTCACATAAGAGATCATTTATCTGATATTCATCTTTCTTGTAGCTGAGCTTATTTGCATTGTTTGTTAACAAAGAATAAGTGTTGATTAAATTGTTTACAATTACTAGCTCCTTACTGTTACAGTTGACTCTTTTTGTTGTTTGTCGGTTCCCTATAAACTGTAAATTATATTAAAATTTGACAGGGTTAACAGCACTTTGTTTAGCTGACCTCTCCTCTACAGTATTGTAAATGACGCGTCTTGATGCTTACTATTTAAGGAATTACAAGCTTTATTGAGGCTAGGTTTTCTGCTTAGCAATGTGACATTCATGCTGTCCTACAACTACTTACTTCCTCAAACTTTCTAACACTGCTCAATAACTACGATCAACAATAATCTTTGTCTCTCAATAAAATAAAGATTGGTCGGTCAAACTTGTCCTTCCTTCCTGCAAAGTAACAACTATTCAACTCGAATCAGACCCTCTTTCAGGACACAGCTATAGAGAGCAAAGTGATACTTCAATAACATACCGCGAATGCATCCTCTGGGCACTGAGATGTAGTCGGTGGGGGCCAATGACCCAAAGGGTCCAGGGTGCACACCGGATTGTTTTTAGGCTGTCTATCTGCTGGAAGACTGTGTTTGTGATCTGAACAGAACCTTGGAAGGGAAGACCCACTGTCGCTGCAATTCCTAACACAGTGCTTGCGTAGTACTCCTTCCCACACTTCAAAGTTCTTTCTACTATGGCATTGAAGTCAGGATTATGATCTTATAGTTTGGCGGAACATTTTGGATGGAGGATGAAGGTCAATGTAGGATTTGGTTTTGTCGACAAGGTGGGTGACAGTTAGAATGTGTGTGCTGAAAAGGACAGCATGTTATTTATTTTGCAATTCAAGGCTTAGCCAGATAATGCGATTAGAATGACCTGTCGGCAAGTTTAAAGGAAATTGGGTTCCTAATCATGAGGTCAACTTATGAATGGGAACGTCCAGTTTATCTGACGAAAAGAAAATGTAGCTGGCACCATTTTCTTTTACGTTGCAGCGATGTATTTTCATTTCTTTGTCCGATTCGATCACGCTGAAGACGTCGGTTAACCACGCAGCCAACCAACCGGACTGTAGATCATACAAAAGATATAAAATAGCTAATTTCATACTGAATGCCCCTGAATCCGTCAAGAAGTATCGTTCTTATAGACATACGGCTTTTATAGGTTAACGAACCCTATTTGTAAAGATTTGAAATTAGAGTTAATGTATTCATTACACCTGTGAACTTAACTTTTTCTGACTCTTCAGTTTAGGCAAAGAAAATACATAGAAATGTTTAACACGGGACCTTATCTGAGGTATATATCATTTTTAGAATAGCTCGCAAAGGTATGCAAGACAAAGGTAGTCAGCGGATATTTATACATAACAGAATTAATGATATGAGGCGCAGTTCAAAGGTTATGCTACGACTTATTATTGATACTGCAAAGCTAGCAGAATATTAAGTTGACATTTGAAGTGACCATTATTTTGAAATCATCAAGGCATAGAAAAGTCTGAAATTGAATCAAAGTCAAAGATGCGATGATAATAATACAAAAATGAAATCGAAATAAAGGACAGTTGAATGAGAAGGAATGAAAAAGCAGTCCTTTTGAGAATAATGGGAAAGAAGTAGGAGTGGAAGAGGTTTAATTGAGAAGCTCTTATTTTGAGCTATCGAAACGAACACAGACCACCACCAGAAAAGCAGTAGTGAAAATGATAGCGCCACTACTGCTACTCTTCTACCGCCATGCAATTTTATCTTCCTCATCAGTAATTGAGCAAACAGTTTCAGCTAAAGATAAAAGTAGCAAGCAGTGCAGCAATTGCTTTTCGGACATGGCAATAATATTGAAATCAGCTTGCTTATATAATAATATGATTAGCAATAATAATAATAATAATAACGATAATGATAATAATATAACCTGAACTCGATGACATTATAGAACGAACGGCAGAAGTGGAATAGTGCTGAGTGATTGTGATACGATGTTTGGAGCGTAGATAGACGGATAATAAATTTTGAAAAGTATTCTGTGATAATGAAATAAATTCTTTTCCTTTTGATCATTTTAATTATGAAATGAATGTGATTGCCACAAATAATTTAGCACATTGAAAGAAGCGCTCTTTCAGCTGTCACATAAAAATGACTGTCAAATTGAAATGTACGAGATTTCATGTGAACATCAGAGAGAGAGAGAGAGAGAGAGAGAGAGAGAGAGAGAGACTAAAATGACAGAGCAGCAAGGATGCACTGCACGAATGTGATGTATCGTACGCCCTGCATCTGCAAATTATTGGTGTTAGCAATTAACCGAGGCGGTAAGGGATGGGAGGGAATATGCGCAATAGGACACTTATGGTCAATTGAAGAAGAAAGTGAAGAGTGGAGAAGGAGATCTGGATAAATTATCAATGATCGTCTTGGTTAATTCACTGATTCACTCTTCAGGTCCGTTAGTAACTCACTCTGTTACAGAGTAAGGAGTAAGGGAAGCGATAGATTCAAGTTGATCCTTCCGCTGAGTTAATTCGGGTTGTGAGGGTGCCCGTGGGAGAGTAGAATCAACTTAGACTTTAGGTAAATGTTCCAAAGTGAAAATTTTATATAATTTGTCAGAAAAAAGAAGGAAGAAGGATAGTTGGTGATATGACTGCAATCAGTAAAGCAACGAGAAGGAACTTTTCGGCTCGGTCTTTTTCGTCTCCCAGTGATTGGACCAAGAGAGATCTAACATTCTTAATGTAATAAATAATAAATATTCATTACATTATAACGCCCTGCCATACCTTTCTTCCCTGAGCATACAAATGGATTATCAATTGTGAAAGAAGGGAGGAACCGATTATCTGAATAAAATCGTAAAGCTCTCTTTAATTAGTCATATCATAACATATCATCTCTTATTAAAATTCCTATTAAATGCTTATTATTGTAGATGAATGAATGAATATCGAAAAATACGCAAATATTATTCGAAAATTTTTTATAAAGAAAATATTAGATGGGAAAAAATGGAAAATATTCTGTCTTATCCGTTTGAGCCGCGGTAAATTTTAATTAAATGTACGCAAAATACTCCGTTTTTCTTATTTCTCCTTACCTCATTGACCTCCTCCTCATATATCTCGACGAGACTCATAAGTTAGTAAACAAATAAATTCAAAAAGAAATAATTCACTAGAAATGAAATTGTACATTGTTAGTGATACTACAATCGACCGACCGCACATCGTTTCCTTTGCAGACTTCACTTCTTCCTGTTATCGTTTTATAAGAAATAATTGAGACGACAAAATGGAAGAATTAAAAAGATATTATAGATGCGTGGAATAATTTGATTCACAAAGAATCTATGAAATTTACTCACACAGAATTAGCGAAAAGTTACTCGGTGATATGATGCAAAATGTATCAAATTTATGCTCCTGCCAACTGATCACGGGCATATGACAGGTGTTGATTAATTGTTATGAAGTGCCGAACAATAAAATGTTATCGTCTTGAAATATTCTATATTAATTCGAACTTGCTAAAAAGCCAATTAAAAAGTGTAAAAATTTAAAGCATAAAATTTATTGCAATGTAGTATATCATAGTTGAAAAATGTGATCATTTATGCAAGAAGAGAAATCGACAAAATTCCCTAATATCCTGAATCATTTTTACCTTTTCACTGTATTGCCGCTGATCTAGAAAAATTGATCTCGTTGACGGGTCACAGAAAATGAATCATTTTCACATCCTATTTACTTACTGCAAATGAAGCAAGCAGCGAGAGCATTTTTTTTTTTTTTGCTTTCACCGCATTTAAGACAGTTTTCTCGAATAATAATCTGATAGGTCATTTCTTGTTGAAATGTTGCACACATTATGAAATGAATCAAAAAATGCCCTGTTCTGGTCATTGTGCTGGTAATATTGTCAAGACCAATTAAATAATGATGACAAGCCACTTTCTTCATTTCCATCTAAAAGTGACCCCTCATGATGAGAAATCTATAATATGGCAATGAAATCATCGTAAAGGATTACCCTGTTTAGCCTTGCGGAAAGAAACCGGTAAGGAAGGGCGGTGTTGCAATGTGCTGATTAATAAAAGTATGTGTATCATTTAATTTTATGATAAATTCGACATTTAATTTCTATAAATTTCTGAAAAGTCCTGGATCTATACGATTGGCTTACCTACAATTACAATTCACCTTGTTATCTTTAAGTGAATATTTCGCTACAGAATTTTTCATTTTATCTCATTTCTAAAATTGCAAAACGTTAATGTCATTTGCAATGGTTTAATTATTTACTTCTGAAATTATTCTCTGAAAAATTTTTCTTTATTCGTTTCAAATTTCTTTTTTTGACAAATCTCTCACTTCACACAAATTGGGTTTTGCTTTTCGAAAAGCACTTAAGCTTTATTCATTTAAGTTCATTTTTTTTTATTTTTCTCTTCATGATGTCGCACAGTAAGCACATCATCGGTTTCACCTCCGTATTTTCCACCTTCTTCAATATGCAAATTCAAAATTAATGGTAAGAATGGACTCATTTGAAGTTTGCAAACTGAATAAGGTGTGTAAAATTATTCCATTATTATTATATTGAGCTACTGATTCAACTTCTTCTTACCACATAATATTTATAATATTAATCTTTCGTATAATAAAGCATTTGTTCTGAATAAAACTTCAAAAAATGCAAATTGATTATGTTGTTTATGTTTTGAGTATTCAAAAATTATATCCAATAATACATACCTTTCATGCAATAATGATGGTCAATCAATCAGGAAGGGCAGCTAATTTATTCAGCACAAATAATCATCGTTTGACACTGATGGAGCCAATTTCACTGAACTGTTTCTACTCGAACTTCTATTAAATTCAAGGTTCCATTTTTTTCCTTACCTGTAGTGCAGATTGCAGGTAATATAAGCAATTGTTTTGTACCTCATTTTCCACTTCATTTTACATTATTTCCCTTCCCACTTTCAAGCAATCACTCACTTTTCTTCCTCATCCTTACATACACATCCATTTTCGCAGCGTGAAAAATCGCTCAAAGTATTAAATTTTAATTTAAACAAAAAATTTGGTTTATATTAGCTAATCGTACAAATAATTATTTGATTAATGAATAATATACGCATAATTTTTCATTCTGATAATGCCTTGAACATTTTCAATTATTTCACTTCAATTACTGTTACTGTTATTGTAACAATTCTTCTGTCATTGATATTTTCAATCATTGAGCAATGATAGTTTTCTAAATGAACGTTATAAAAGAAAGATTGAAGTAATCCAGGTGTCACTCTCCACTTACTTCGTACTCAACTTGTCACCAACACACAGGGAGGAGTATCCCGATGTACCACACCATCATTCTTCTCCTGGTGCTGCTTCATAAATCGATGTCACCAAGGATTGACCTCGAAGAAGAAGAAGAAACAAGCCGTTTGCTCAGAAAACACTTCTATGATGGCAACAAAATTGTACTACCACTTTCCAAAAGTGCCACTCTTCAGTTGTTAAATCATTGGGTTCAGCAAGCAGCTAGTGGCTTTATGGCAGCTTTTGCCAGCAAAAGGTTAATTTGAATTACAACTTTCCGTGTTTTAATTTATCACTTCAGTACTTTCTTGGAAACTTGGTGCTGATCAGGTTATGTTTGTTGATAATTTATAACTGTCGATGACATTTGCAACTGGGAATAGGAGATGATCCTGCAAACATTCACAGTAAATCTGTACTGTCAGTAGTTCTGACTTGAAGGATGTCAAACTTTTTAACAGTTCACAAATCATTGCAAATTCTAGGATGAAAAGATTTAACACTCGAAATGGCGAACAATTTCATTATTGTTCTCAGGAAGCAAATTCGATTACTAAGCATGCAAAATGTGTTGTGGATCTATTGATGCTGGAAAAAACGCAAAGTTTTCCATTTTTTAACTTTGCACAAAGTCTTGAAGGCTTTTTGAGAATTAGTAGGGCGGATGGTCAAAGTTCATCGGCATATTTTAGAATTATGGCACCTTAGAAATTCTTTTATAGACTGAAGTTTGGAGCTCTGCAAAACAATAGTTCAATTCAGTTGAGGTGACA